TTAAATACAGGTACGTAATCCACCAATAACTAAAAATCGAAAAAATTTTACATAGCGCACTTTGCTAGTGGACTACTCATATGCAATATGAAAAGTTCGGTTTATATGGGAGGTGCCACGCCCCATTCTCCAACCATGCAAATTTTTCTCCATGAGTATGGAATTGATATTATATATGTATATATCCCCATACCCAGTTCTAGTCCTCTATCACAAATATATGCAGTTTGAAAAATTCGGTTTGTATGGGAGGTGCCACGCCCCCTTTCTATATCGAAACTTTTTTTAGCCTATAACCATCCTTGGAAAGTCTGCAGTAGATTCCGAAATTTCAAAAAAATCGGTACGTCCTTTTTCGAGCTTTGCGAACAGAAAAAAACGCCTTTCAAAATATATATTAGTATAGACTAGCCAATATCTGCTTGTTTTACGGCTTAAAACACTACTAACGCTGAAAATCGATGATTAAATAAACAAGTTTGCAAAGGTTAAGTGATTTTTTGTATGAAATACTAGCAGGAAATAATGTTACTCATACGCCATATCGTACATGACCGTATGACCATGTTAAAGTTTGAATTTTTTTCATTCGCAATGCAAACTTAAAATGAAAATAACTTGAATAAATGACCTTATCTAAAAAAAAACGGTATACAGATCCGTAACATGCTACTTAAAATTAATTTTACGTCTCTCGGGTTTTTTTTGTAATTTTAGCGTCGTTACAGTGTTATCGTCAAAATTTAGCCATACAATGAAATTTGTTTATAAAAATCTTAGGAGGTAGNAAAAGGAATCACATTTTCAATTCCTTTCAAAGGAATTGGAAAAAAATTACATTTTCAATTATTTTCAAAGGAATTGAAATAAAAAAAAATTACATTACTAGCACGTAATTTATTCCAATTACAATATGAAATTCCTTGTAATGGAATTAAAGAAAAAAACAATTCCATTTGAAATAACTTCAAGGAATTGAAAAAGTAATCGATTCCTTTGCTGTGAACTAAAGGAATTGAATCCTAATTACAATTANTATATTAGTATAGACTAGCCAATATCTGCTTGTTTTACGGCTTAAAACACTACTAACGCTGAAAATCGATGATTAAATAAACAAGTTTGCAAAGGTTAAGTGATTTTTTGTATGAAATACTAGCAGGAAATAATGTTACTCATACGCCATATCGTACATGACCGTATGACCATGTTAAAGTTTGAATTTTTTTCATTCGCAATGCAAACTTAAAATGAAAATAACTTGAATAAATGACCTTATCTAAAAAAAAACGGTATACAGATCCGTAACATGCTACTTAAAATTAATTTTACGTCTCTCGGGTTTTTTTTGTAATTTTAGCGTCGTTACAGTGTTATCGTCAAAATTTAGCCATACAATGAAATTTGTTTATAAAAATCTTAGGAGGTAGAATCTCCAGTTCTACAGGGCTCGTAATTCAAGCGGACTCTATCCTCATTTGTAACGCAGGATACCAGTAAGAGTACTTCAAAGGCCCCAGAAGGCACGCCATTTTGGGTAGAATTAAGGGTACCATAATATACACAATTAGTCCGTGCATTTTTATAGATACGCAGGGATTAGTCCAAGAGAACAGCCTGCCAAGGCAGCAACAGTACGGGCGGGTTATGCCTGCTTCGACATTTATGAGTCTCATCTGCGTTCGCGGTAGGATCTGGAAAATTTAACCGTTACCCTATAAACTGAACAGCTACAGTTTAAGCTATTCAGTTTTCTTAAAGTCCAATTAGTAATACTACTTAGGTATAAGTTATTTATTCGAGGCAGTAAGCAACCAAGAAACTTAAAACAGAGCTATTGCAATTCAACAGTAAAAAATTTTTTTTTTATAAATTTTTCGATTACTTTTTAAATTACTTTGAGGAATGGAATTCGAAAAAAAAGGAATCACATTTTCAATTCCTTTCAAAGGAATTGGAAAAAAATTACATTTTCAATTATTTTCAAAGGAATTGAAATAAAAAAAAATTACATTACTAGCACGTAATTTATTCCAATTACAATATGAAATTCCTTGTAATGGAATTAAAGAAAAAAACAATTCCATTTGAAATAACTTCAAGGAATTGAAAAAGTAATCGATTCCTTTGCTGTGAACTAAAGGAATTGAATCCTAATTACAATTACTGAGGTATTTAATTGTAATTGTAATGTAATTGCATTTACCCAGCTGTGTATATGTGTACCTCAAACACTACTTCACTGATTTCACAAATTTGGTATACACATTGCGCTTAGGCTTCTTAAGCGCCATATCAAAAATTTTTGAAATCGAACAAAAACCACGGGCTCCACCAAAGTAACGGTAATTTCGAAAAACTCAAAGCTAGCTATATTTTAGGGGGACTAGGTTTTGTCCTATTTAAAAAAATATTTAAGACTGTGCTTAAGCATGCTAAGCGCAATGTGTATACAAAATTTGGTCGAGATCCGTGAAGTAGTTTTTGAGATACATACATATGATATCATATGAGTAGTCCACTTGCAAAGTCCGCTATGTAAATTTTTTTCGATTTTTAGTTTTTGGTGGTTAACGTACCATTATTTAAAGTAGTTTCATGTGCACTAACAATACAGTGCAATCTCCCTATATATTCTGAAAAAAATAGCATCAAATGTTAGCTACTCTAGCAAAAGTCGATATAATACTTACTGTATGTATATATACACTTTCAAAAGTCGCTATAATATTTATTGTACGTATTTATAAAAGTTCAAAAGTCTCCATCTTCTGATGAACTTAGAAAACTGCAAGAAAACGTGGTAGTTTCGGTGCCTAGTGGAAGACGTCTTAAAAATGAAGCAGGCCAACCTACATGGAATAGAGAACGCGAAAAGCTTAAAAAAGCTGGCTATATAAAACTTACTGTTTCAAAGCTCGCTATATTTAATTTCTATATATAAAATTTGCAAAAACTACCACACTGCGATTTTGATTTTTAATGTCATTAGGCTCTTGTTTATCCAAATTTTCAGATAATAAAAAGAAATATTCAATTTGGATGTTACTTGTTGTTTTAGACGTTTTTTTTTTTTTAATTTATGGCGTACTATTATAAAATCTCATCACGCTGTTTGCAACTGGACTACTCATATATGTACACAAGTGGGCGGTGTCTACCCCATTTTCCTAAAATTTCTTGAAATACCACTTTTTTGCTAAAGGGCGATTGTGTATATCAATTTTGAATTAATACTGCTCAAAAAATCTGAAAGTCCGGCGCATACACAATATACATTCAAGGCCGTATTTAAGAAAGTCTCCTAACTTCGACAATTTTTATGCGATTGCAATAAATGAGGTTTAGTTGATATGAAAATAGATTTAGTTTTAGATATGTAGCACTACATATTTTGAAATCGTGGAAATAAGTGATGGTGAAGATGTTTTTTTTCTTTATTTCCCCGATGGAAAATCACGACAACCCAAGTCTGACAATAGATTATTATACATCATTTTAAAGGCCTATACATCCTCTTCTCACAACATGTTCGATCTTTAAAATTTAATGAAAAATAAATATTCAAAAACTGATAAATCTACAAAACCGTGTTTTCTGGCCTAAAATGACAAGTCGCGACCTCTAAATGATTTTATTTATAAATCTATAAAAATAGGCAATATTTCTCATTAAAAGTAAGAAAATTAGTGGGTAGGGTCTTGAAATTAAAAAAAAAAAAATCGATGGTCACCCTAATGTACACTCAGAAAAATTCAGCTAAATTATTTCTCTAAATACATGATTTGGTAACTATAGCGAAATAATATAACCAAATCATTACTTTCGTTGCAGCGCATGTTCAATGCGGAACGCCTTCTTGTCTCGTAAGGACATATTTTCCTGGTAGATGTGCCCAATGTTTAGTATCCATAAACGGATATTTTGCTCGCCGGCTTCTTGTCGTGGCAGATTTGAGCGTAGATTACCGAGCTTCCTTCAAGGCTATAGAACCAAAGAAGCACATCGAGCCAGTCTGCACAGTTGTTAAACTTCATGTAGGCTTTGATTGCGGAGCGGAGTAGAGTTAGAACCTTTTACCTCGGCATCTCAAGTGAACTAGTCATGTAAAACTGTTTTGAACTTATTTTGTTTAAAAAATTTGTTATGGTTTTGTTTGGGCACAAAGGTCCCATCGTAGTTTGTGCAGCACTGTTCCACTGTAGCAACCAAGGCGAATTCGTGCAAGCAGGTATGATCGCAGTGCGCTCCCCAACAGCCACGTACATATGTATATATACCCATGCGCAGGGACCTATGCGCTCACGCTCTATGTACACACCGACATAATTGCATAAATATGCATATTGTTTGCCCAATGCATTAAATACATAAAAATCGTATGATGTTTAACCTTGAGCTTAAGGTTGAACTTGAAGTCATTTATTTCATGTAGTATATAAGAACATATTCTGAATATCACCGTTGTTTGGGTTCTTCTTACAAATTTGTGAATAATAAAGGTAGAAGTAAGAAAACTAGCAGAGTGAGCAGATGTGGAGTTTTATTCTATTTCGTTTGGCGACAACCTGAGTTTTATTACAGACATTTAGTGGCGACCGTGTCAGGACTTGTCCCATATAACACTCCCTCGAAAAACTCCACGGTGTCGTTTGCTTCCTTTGCGGACAGTTAATCAATTTTAGTCAAAATAAATAAATTAGTTTGAAGTCTTCCTACACATCGAAGTGATTCACAACAAGTTCGTAATCACTAAACTCCGAGCAGCCGTAATCGCTTTCGAGTGGATAACCATCTCAATCGACTTCAGTCTGCGTTTTCTCCGGCCTGGTGATACAGTCGCAATAGTCGACTTTCTTTCGTTAAGGGCGCAAACCGTAATCTACGCCAGATACTCTAGTACAGCCTCCTCGCAACGGCAGTACAGCCTTTACAAATAGATCATCACCAAAGAGCATTGGAAAACGGGTTAGTCAGAATCAGTTGGTAAGGACACTACGATGGCTACAAAACAAGATGGTAGTGCAATGGATGATTCAGACCCCCCAAATGAAATGCCTTTACTTATTAAAAAGCGCGCAGCGATTAAGCGTAACATGAAAAGTATGAAAACGAAAATTGGAACCGAAAAGGGTCCAATTGATTTCGCTGCAATTGAATGCCGGCTTCAAATCATAGAGTCATACTTTAAACAAATCTCAGATATTCAAACTCAAATTGAAATCCTGAACTCCGACGACACGTCAAGATCCGAAATTGAAGAATTGTATATTCTAATTAAATCAAAACTCGTTCATATCTTAGAATCTAAAATCAAACCGGCTACTGCTGATTTAAGTACATTGAACACCTCAGTAAGTAATTGTTCACTAAAAAATCGATTGCCCACCCTGAAGTTGCCGAAATTCGATGGGAAATATGCCGAATATAAGCGTTTTTTTCGCACGTTTTCGAACATAGTTCATGACGATGCATCCATTCCGATAATTGATAAATTTAACTATTTACTTAGTTGTCTTTCAGGGCCAGCTTTGAGTGTCGTAGAAGCATTTGAGGTAACAGAAGCTAATTACCCGAAGGCCCTGCTACGACTAAAGGAACGCTACGACAACAATGTCTTAATATTTCGTGATTATATTATGGCTTTGTTCAACATTCCTGTCATAAAGACATCAAATCCTGCGTTAATTCGAAACGTCATCGATACTGTTGCTGCACTTAGAGGCTCACTTCTATCTTTGGGGTCGGAACTTGACATTGTGAACTCAGTATTAATACATCTTGTACTCTCCAAATTAGATCCTGAATCAAGGATGGTCTACAACAAGAAGCAGGACTTTGAATCACTTCCTGCATGGGACGACTGCTATAAGATCTTGAGCCGCCATTGTCAATTTCTTGAGAGCTGCACAAAACGAGATATTCCGATGTCCAACAACCGCGAGTCGCACAAGCCTAGCAACAAGAGTACTACTCTTATAAACGCAAAGTTAGGATGTGCATATTGCAACAGCACAGAACATACTATCCATAAATGTTCATCGTTTCTGGAGCTAGCAATTCCTCAACGATTTGAATTCGTAAAAAAGACTGGCCTTTGTATCAACTGTCTTCGTAAGGGGCATACGGTATCCAAATGTCAATCACAATCTCGGTGTCGTATATGCCGCATATTGCATCATACTCATATACACTTCAATAATGTTTCAGATCACTTTACAAACGCAACGCAAGATAAGCAGTCATCATCTCCTGCTCCACTACAATCGTCTTCGGCTATGCGGAATGAAGCACAATCATCCAACAATACACACGTTTCACTTGTCGCACGCGCATGTAAAAGAGCGCTCATTCCCACTGCTGTGATCCTCATTCAGGACAAATTCGGCGTAATGCAACCAATTCGAGCATTATTGGACTCATGTTCGGAGTTGAACTTCATCACAGAGGAAACTGCAAAACGGCTTCAACTCAAACAACAGCCATCGAACCAAGAAGTTTCAGGTATAAGTGGAATTCGAACGAATCTAAAATACTCTGTAAGTGCAACCATTAAATCTCGTACAAGTAATTTTACTTGGTCTTCCAACTTTGCTATAACGAAATCCATTTCGGCAAAACAGCCGCTTCAATATATTGATACAAGTAACTTTAATATTCCCGATGGGATCTGTCTTGCGGATCCCTTATTTTTTAAGCCACAGCGTATTGAGATGCTACTAAGCACAGAGTTATTTTTTGCTTGCCTTCAAGATGGCAAAATATCCCTCGGTCCTGGCCTACCTTGCTTACAAAACACGGCTTTTGGTTGGATCGCAGGTGGGGTAATTGAACATTCAACAAACGATTCTGCATTCATTTGCAATATCGCTGTAAACGCAGAGTCACCTAAGGCAGATGATATTCTCAAGCGATTTTGGGAAATTGAAGAGTTCCCGCAATCTAATCCAGTTCTATCAGAAGAAGAGTCTTATTGTGAGAAACATTTTCTTAAAAACGTGACCGTTCTCAACAACGGTCGAATACAAGTCCGCTTACCATTCAAAACCGCACCTTCTGTATTAGGCAACTCATATGAAAACGCCAAGAAAAGGTTTCTACTGCTCGAGCGCCGTTTGAGCCGTAATACTGAATTGAAGCAAATGTATGAGAACTTTATGAAGGAATATGAAGATTTGGGACATATGTCGCGCGTAGTCGATGTTGAGTTAAGCAACCCACATTTTGTGATACCACACCATTGCGTCATGCGACCAGAGAGTACAACAACAAAGTTGCGTGTAGTTTTCGATGGCTCGGCAAGCACATCATCATGTAAATCGCTTAATGAAATACTAATGGTAGGAGCAACTATTCAACAGGAACTTAATATAACGCTTTTGTCTTTTCGTTTGCATCGGTTTGCGATCACAGCCGATATATCTAAAATGTATCGCCAATTTCTTGTCGAAAAGGATGATCGGAAGTTTCAATTAATTATTTGGAGAAATAAAGAAGATGAGCCCCTTCAAATGTTCGAGCTCAATACCGTTACTTATGGTTTAGCATGTTCCCCATTCTTAGCAATCCGTAGTTTGTTTCACATTGCCGATTTACACAGCAAAACGCACCCAGTAGGTGCGGCTATTATTAAAAGGGACTTCTACGTAGATGATTTATTGACCGGAGCAGATAGCCTAAGTGAATTACAACAGATAAAATCAGAAATAATCGATATTCTATCGTCAGCAGGTCTAAATCTCACAAAGTGGAGCACAAACTGTCCTCAATTTATTCAATCATCGAATGAAGAGTTTGTCATCAAAACCAACGAGGAATGCATTACCAAAACGCTAGGCATGGCATGGAAATCCACAACAGACACAATTTGTTTTCGATACGACTTCCCAGAATCGATACCTTCCACAAAACGAGGTATTTTGTCCATTATCGCTAGAATTTTCGACGTACTGGGCTTACTAAGTCCAATCGTTATTAGAGGCAAGATATTACTACAAGAAATGTGGATAAAACAGCTAAAATGGGATGAAGGGCTTCCGCCAGATTTAATGAAGATGTGGCTCAACATTAAATCCGATTTTTCCTGTATTAATACATTTGAAGTACCCCGATACGTTTTTACATCTTTCTCTGTAATCAGCGAGATTCATGGATTCGCTGATGCATCTCAACGAGCATACGGATGCTGTTTATACGTACGTACAAATATGAATGGTATATACAAAACAACATTATTGACTGCCAAGTCTAAAGTGGCACCTATTAAGGTTCAATCTCTACCACGTTTAGAGCTATGTGCTGTGTTATTATTAAGCCGAACTTGGCAGAAGATTGCTGAAAAGGTCAGTAAATATATAAAAAGGATATTTTTCTGGACAGATTCTGAAATTGTCTTACAATGGTTGAAGATGCATTCATCTACTCTCAACTGTTTTGTCGCGAATCGAGTCTCTGAGGTGCAAACAAATTCAAAGGGCATTGTTTGGAGACATGTTCCAAGCAGGGAAAATCCAGCAGACCTAATTTCTCGTGGATGCAGTGCATCTGAGCTTGCAAACACAATTTGGTTCACCGGGCCGCAATTTCTCAAGCAGCATTTTTCGAAGTGGCCTGCGACCAACAAAGAAGTTAAAGTTGAAGATCATATATTAGAGTATAGAAAAAGGACTGCATTTAAGATCACCAGAAACGCTATAGATGAATCCATCATCGAATCCGTCATCGAGCGAAATTCATCATATCAACGTATACTTCGTATAATGTCATATGTATTTCGTGTTTTTAACGGATCGCGAGTTAATAGAAACATTTCATCCTCACAGGTGACATCGGTTTCACACAAAGAATTGGACAAAACCTTTTGGAAAATCTTAACCATCATTCAACACAAGTACTACGAGTCTGAAATCAAGAACTTACGCTCAGACAAGCCCATTGTTTTGCCACTACAAAAACTTACACCTTTTTTACACGAAATGCTTATCGATGGAAGTTCTATTACTATTTTAAGGGTTGGTGGAAGACTAGCCAACGCGCCAATGCCGTATGATGCCCGATTTCCAGCATTACTACCAAAGGAACACCGGTTTACAAAACTTCTCATCGAACACCTTCATCGTAAGCACTTACATGCAGGAGCTAAAGTGCTAATTAGTCTTCTACGCGAAAAGGTGTGGATCGTCAATGCAAGGGAAATTGTGAGAAAGGTGTTGCATGACTGTGTGCACTGTTTCCACTATAAACCCAAGCTTATGGAACAAATAATGGCAGACCTTCCAGCAGACCGCCTAAGACAACAACGACCATTTCTAATTAGTGGCGTTGACTTTTGCGGTCCCTTTGCCACATCATATCGACTTCGTGGAAAGCCACCTTATAAAACATATGTCGCAATTTTTGTTTGCTTCTCCTCGAAAGCGGTTCATACTGAATTAGTTTCAGATTTGTCAAGTAATAATTTTATTCTTTGCCTTAAACGATTTATAGGTCGCCGCGGGCTACCACAGCGTATATACTGCGACAATGGCACCAATTTTGTTGGCGCGCATGGAAGATTAAAGGAACTTCAACAGCGCCTATTCAACAAAGTAGCAATAGAAGGCATAACAACCTACAGCAATAACGCAGGGTTCACTTTTAATTTTATCCCACCCCGCGCACCACATTTTGGCGGCTTGTGGGAAGCTGCGGTGAAATCCATGAAGACGATTTTAATGAAGACTGCATCCGGTGCAAATCTAACATATGAGGAACTTCAGACAACAGTAATTGAAGTAGAAGCTATACTCAACTCGCGTCCACTTGTTGCACTGACTGACGATCCGAATGACGGCGAAGCCTTGACACCAGGTCATTTATTAATTGGTTCATCCTTGCTCGCAATGCCAGACGATCACTTTAAAAACACAGAAGTAACTCGCTTAACGCAATTTCAACGCATCACCTACCTGAAGCAACGTTTTTGGCAGCTATGGCTACGCGATTATGTTCACAGTCTGCAGCAGCGCTCAAAATGGTTCAAACCTCAGCCCAATATTGAACTTGGTCGGCTTGTCATTGTACATGAAGACAATTTGCCTCCAAAACAATGGTTACTAGGAAGAATCACGCAAACAATCCCAGGTGCCGATGGCAAAATTCGTGTAGCAGACGTAAAAACCTCCAAAGGAATTATTCGACGAGCAGTTCACAAATTAGCCCCATTACCAATTTCAGCTTGAAAGGTTTGTCCTTTCAACGGGGGGAGTATGTTTGGGCACAAAGGTCCCATCGTAGTTTGTGCAGCACTGTTCCACTGTATATGGTATGATCGCAGTGCGCTCCCCAACAGCCACGTACATATGTATATATACCCATGCGCAGGGACCTATGCGCTCACGCTCTATGTACACACCGACATAATTGCATAAATATGCATATTGTTTGCCCAATGCATTAAATACATAAAAATCGTATGATGTTTAACCTTGAGCTTAAGGTTGAACTTGAAGTCATTTATTTCATGTAGTATATAAGAACATATTCTGAATATCACCGTTGTTTGGGTTCTTCTTACAAATTTGTGAATAATAAAGGTAGAAGTAAGAAAACTAGCAGAGTGAGCAGATGTGGAGTTTTATTCTATTTCGTTTGGCGACAACCTGAGTTTTATTACAGACAGGTTTAATAAATTGAATTTTTTTGTTATAAAATCTTCAATAAAGATATCGCACTCTAGCCGCCACAATAACGTAAGCGACATTTTTTTCAAAATTTTCTTTTTGACACAGAAAAGAAAAGCGACAGAAATGTTTTTTGATTTTGTGAAATCAGTTACTATCGCTTTGATAACTTCCAATAGTGACGAAGAAGTGGCATCGTGGCGATAGGCGATAAAATTCTCTTCCAATTGCTGCCAGGGTATGTATAACTGAAGAAAATTTATATTTGAGGACATGAGAACAGCAGTGGCCTAACCCAAATTTTTTTATTGTATGCTTCCCTACTTAAAATTGTCTCAAATAAGATAAATTTTAAAATGAAAGTCGCTTATTTTTAACTTTTAGGCGCAGAGCTACATAACGGGCTGCAATTTAGTTTGGCATCCCCCCGACTACCGCATTAAGGTAGCTATGGAAGGGTAGGGGGAGTTCTCCTGATTCCAAATATGTAGTTTTTAGCTGCGGGAGCCTCATAGTTTTTAAGTTATTTGTTGTTAAAGTTTGTAAATTTAGCAAACCTTTAGGCGATATTTCACACAATAAACACTACATTTATGTACATACACACTTCGGCAATATATTTGCAATAGGACCCCGCTCAACTAAATATATTTATACTTTTTACGTTTATTGTGCAATTTTAGTAAAATAACTGTTTTTAAAATTATCACGCACTTATACTTCCCTGTTGTTGTTGTTGTAGCGGCTACAACCACCCCGCCCATACCGGTTAGTCCCTAAATCGTTGTCGTCAAGCTCTAGTAACAGAAGACCCTGGAAGCGTGCAGCTTCGATGGGTCTGTCCATAAGGACCGATGCGTTAGCAGGTTGGGGTTCAGAGGGCATGCGAAGAGAGGTTTCGAGTCATGGGGCGTCTCTCCGCATGTCGGGCATTCGTTTGGCGCATCTGCATTTATTCTGCTCAGGTACGAGTTAACCCTGCTGCAGTAGACAGAGCGAAGTCTATTGTGGTCCGAGTCTCTCGATTCAGACGAAGCTCTGTCTCGTCCACGTCTGGTAGTTGAGTTCCCAGAGCGGCATTCACAGGGCGAGAGTCTATATAACTCGAGACGGACGCCATGTGAATTCCGTTCAAGGCCTGTCGGTATGCTGTCGGGTTCAGAGGTCCTTTTATGAACCTCTGGACTTCATCCCTCAGTTCATTTAAATGCCCTCTGACGTGCCGTGGCGTGAGTTCTTAAGCAAGCAGATGTCTATTCGGGTGCCCATGTCGGTGACACCCTACTAGGAATTGCTTGCAGAGCATTGTGCTATGCTCCTCTATTGGGAGCATATGGGCCTCGTCGTGCAGGTGATGTTGCGGCGACATCGGAAGGCATCCTGCCGCTGTCCTGAGTGTCGTGTTTTGGCAGGTCTGCAGCTTCATCCACTGCATCCTACTAGTCCCCGGCGACCACACAGGCGCTGCATAGTTCAGAGCCGGCCGGCCAATTGCCTTGTACGTTGCCAACGTTTCTTTGTCTTTGCCCCAGGCACTACCTACTAACGACTTGAAGACCTTGTTGCGGTTTTGTACTTTATTGACAATTGCGGTTGTATGCGCCGAGAAGGAGAGCAGACTGTCGAAGGTTATTCCGAAGGTTTTCGGAATGTTCACCATCGGAATGGGTTCGTCATCGACGTGAACACCCAGTTGCAGTCTGACCTCCTTCGATCAGGTGTTAAATAGTGTGGCTGAGGATTTTGTAGATCATGACTTATCTCGGTTTTTATGGGGTTCAGTGTTGTTGTTGTGCTGTTCACTTTACGGAGCTCATGTTGATGCCTCGCTAGGGTTAGGTGGTTTCTGTAATGCGGGAGTAGAAGGGCATCTAGTGTATTCGCTACCGGGGAAAGGAGAGTAATCGGACAATGGGACTCTCTTTTGTGGACGGTTTCCCCGGTTTAAGCAGTGGGACCACCCTCCCTACTTTCAGATGTCTGGAATGATGAGAGTGGCCATAGACACATTGAGTACTTCGGTTAAGTAATCTACTCCCGCAGGACCAAAATTTTTCAGCATCAGCATGTAAATTCCGTCGTTTCCGGCTTTGGAAGCTTTCATCTTCCCGCTGGCTACCCTCAATTCGCCGCTAGTGAAAACAGGAGGCGCACTAGGTGTAGGGATGCAAATGTTGGGGGGTAACATCGATACATCGATGTTTCGATGCACCGGAGAAATGAACATCGATGCTGAAATATATCGCCAGAAAAACATCGATATATCGATGGTTTCCGATGTTTCACAATTTGTTAGGTTGCAGTCAAATTAAAAGGAGAATTGAAAACCTTTCGATTCCAAATCTCTGTAATTCAATTAGAAAAACACTTTCATATGATGGATTTCCCTATATTTATTTACCATTCTTCTACCCTTCCTATAAATAGAATAAAAATGCATACCGTAGTAAGTTCGCTGAGCCTAAAGTTCCAAGGCCCAATTTCGTTGAAATTTCAACGGGAACCCGGTCGTTTTTAATGATTAAGTAAGCATTTTTAATATCGAAATATACGAGGAAACTCGGAATTTCTGAATGTTCCACCAAAAAGAATAAGTAATAAAATTCATTGCTAGTCAAAAAATTTTAGGAGCATAATGGGTAAGTTGAATTCAAGTCTGTCACATGTCATGTCTGTCTGAGTCACAATTAAATCGATATTAAAACATCGTTGAAACTGGCATCGATGTATCGTCAATTTAGCGATTTTAGGAAATTGTAAACATCGATGGCAAACATCGAATTTTGAACCGATGTTATAGATGTTTCAAAAATATCGATGCATCGTTTGCATCCCTAACTAGGTGTTAGCAGTTTGTGCAGCCTTTCGTCACTCGACGCTTGGCTTTGCTCGCCGGAGGATGCAGTGTGAACTGCCGGCTAAAATAGCTCGCGCATCGCTCCGGATCCGACGAGGCGTGGTCGCCGAAAGAGATTTCGACTCTGTCGTCAAGCTGTGTCGGATTGGACAATGACCTTACGGTTGATCAAAGCTTGCTTACACCAGAGGCGAAGTTACGGCTCTTCATATGGTCTTCCCCCTTCTGCCGCTTATGTACGTTCAGTAGTTGCCGAATATTCGCGTTGAGATCCCTGATACGGGGATTTCCGGCATCGGCCTGGCGAAGGTTATCACGCTCATCGGCTAAGACAGCCGCTTCAGGAGGAAAATTCGGACGGGGGTCCGAAATACATCCTGCTGGGATGAAGCGAGCTGCAGCGGCGGTGACAACCTAGTGAACTTATAGGAAATTCACATGAGCCGATTATTCAGGTAACTTTTATTTGAATCATGTAAATTCCCTATTACGCTCACCTACGTGAACATCGGTTGGTGTGGGTAGGGCAGTGATGGTACTTTCAGTAACATCCGCGAAGCCTTTCCAATCAGCTTTTGAAAAGCTGACATAGGTTCGAAAATCCGCGGAAGCAAAGTCAGCAGGTTTAACAATAGAGATGATTATGTGCAGATGACACTGGTTTACATCAAAAATGTTCTATGGATGCCACTATCCAATTCTTATGTAGAATTGCTCGGTGATTCCGAAAATCCAGTCAATTTTTTTGAAGTGAAACTTCTTTAGCGGCGGTTGGTTGGTTGGGAGTAAATTGGCAAATTCAGCGGAAATTGCACACGGAAATGTTGCAACGGAAGTGATGCAACGGAAATGGTGCAAAGCAAATAGTTGGGGCTGAAACAAGTACTTCTTGTGTGTATGCAACGGAAATGGTGCAACGGAAATGGTTGGGGCTGAAAAAAGTGCTTCTGGTCTGTATGCATATGGTATTAATTTAACAAAAATTTGCTAATAAAAGGTTAAAGAACAACACTTAGAAAAGACCAATACAAGAAGGAAAGTAAAGGTGACCACGTACATAAATGAAGAAAAGGATATAGGCAAAGGTAAAAATAAAAACAAAAACAAAGATGCGTAAAGATAAAAGCAAAAATGCAGACTAAGGTAAATTTAAACAGTTTACTTATATATATAAGGGCAAATGTGAAAGGGAGTATGTAGCTGAAAAAAATGATAAACAGAAAAGTAAAGACAAGGAGGAGGATGAGGATACCGATAAAGGCAAAGATGAAGATAGGGGAAGAAAGATTAAAATAGAGGTATGTAATTAAAGAGGAAAGGATATAGAGAGAGACACAGAGACTCACTCTGGGAACTATTTAAGGATTTTAGAGATTCTCGGGATTCTCGAGACCTATCATTAAAATAATCGATATTTTTATCGGTTTTGTTATCGATATTTACCGACTTTGTTCTCGATTCTTATCGATATTTATCGACTTTGTTAGCGATATTTATCAATTTTGTTATCGATATTTATCGATTTGGTTATCGATATTTATAAATTTTTTATCGATATTTATCGATTTTGTTATCGATATTTATCGATTTTTTTATCGATTTTGTTATCGATATTAACCGATTTTGTTATCGATATTAACCGATTTTGTTATCGATTTTGTTATCGATATTTATCGATTTTGTTAACGATATTTATCCGATT